CGCTTAGTGATATTGATTCACATTCCGCTTATGTATGACGGTAGTTTTTTTTTTGGGTACGGCAGTAGTGGAGGGCGAGCCGGTGCCGACGGCTTGGCCAGCCCAAACTGTGTAAATACCCACAGCGCGTGCACGAAAGGACACTGCGCTTGTAGGTCACTGTGTTACTGTTGCGTAATACATAGGAGAGCGGCGCCCGTAACGCAAGTAGGGTTTCTGTTTCGGCAAGGTCCTTCAAGCTATTTTTCGGAGTAGCTACAGTTTATGGGGATGTAACCGATGCGCGTTGGAGCTCATCATCCCACGGTTCTCAGTGCACCGACATAGTTAGCCAAAGCTAGCTCTAGGCAGGCCTTCACTCTGCACAGGTTGTAGTATTTGCCGTGGGGCATGAACATGCTCGATTCTACACCCATTGTGTGGCGAAGGCTTCTCTGGCATTGCGATCACTCGCCGCTTTGTCCAGAGATCATGCACCTGATAAGGAAGCAGTTTCACGAAGAATGGAGACACTCAACAGTTGAGAGTCCATAGCAAGTCTTCCACGGCCGAAGCATGTTCATCTTCTCATAGCGGTCATTGGCACTATTTACGGTTCAGCCTGTATGTGCATGGGTGCAGATATACGGAGCTGAAGTGTGAGAAGAAGTGGGAGCTTGCCTTCCGTTATTGGTGCTCTTCTATAGTATTCACTGGGGTGGAGTATCTTGGCATTGCGTTACACAGTTTGCGAGACAGACGCTGACCGTGCAAAGGATATGGGTGAATTTGTGGGGGAGTACATGTGCAGCGCGATAGGCGGTTGCAGGGAGCGGCGACTACAGGATGACTTATCAGGCGCTCAGCAGTATTGGCATCCAGTGCAATTTTGTATGATGGTAGATGTTTTACGGAGAAGCCGATTCGTGACTTACGAGCTACGTTCGACGGCGCGGAATACACAAACTGTCTAAATACCCACTGCACCCTTACAAGAGAACGCGGGACCTGGCTCTCATTGCGTAGCTATTGGGCGAGACAAATGCAAGCGACGCCGACAGCTCAAACTGGTTTCACGGGTTCGGCGAGACCCGTGAGCCTATGTTGTGCTTTAAGGAGGGGCAATCAATGAATGGGGCATTGATTTTCGTTCAAGCTCGGCCTTTCACGCCACGGTGGCCAATTAACTCTGACGCGGTAGGCAGGAACACACTTCAGGCCCTTTTTCTGCATTTGTACGTGGTGCTTCCTGTACACCTTGAGTATTTGTGACTCAGAGTGGTCATCCAATAGGAAGCGATTCGAGAAGTGCGCAGCATGGAGCCAGCGGCGCTGTCTTGCAGATGCCGATAAGGTTCCGTTTCATCTGCACGGCCTGGGTGAACTCAGCTCAATTCGCCGAAAGGAGTATGCAAAGTACATGCCGAAGAGGTAGGGATTCTGCAGGTGTGAGCACAGTGGGCGTCTAGAGTTTGCTTGCGCGTGCGGATACGGCCGCAATGCGGCGAAACCTTTTCTGGCGTGACGATCGCTCGGTGGTTTGCGCAGAGTGTGCGCCCTTAAAAATGATGGCGTTTTTTTCGCGACAGTCGCGGACACTGATACAGTTCAGGCATTGTGAGTGCGGGCATGGCAGCTTGCTTGAATGCGTACAGACTTGTGGAGTTGCAATGGAAGAAGAAGCGGTCGCTCGTTCTGCTTTAGTGGCGCCTTTTTCTTGTATTGACCGGGGCAAAATGTTTCGGTGTTGCTCTATATGCGTGGGAGAAGGGTTTTGAGAAAATGCAGGGCATCACGGAGTCGGTGGCGGAGTATGGGTTTAGCGCAATGCGTGCTAGGATGCAGCAACGAATACATGGTAACTTGTGTCGGCCGCTGACTCGCATAAATGACCAGCTTCGTTTTTTTTGATGTCGCTTGTTCTGCGGAGAACAGGAATAGCACCGAGCGGGTGGGGGCCGACGGAGCGTGCAACTAGACATGTGCAAATGCGCAGCTCTGTTATGCAAAAGACCGCAAAACCCGTAGCCTACTGTACAGCAACTGGGTAGCAGGAGGGGAAGCGAAAACCGTGGTACAAGCTGGTGCTTATCGTCTGCCGAGATTCTTCAAGGTTGCTTGCGTCTGGGCGAAGTACAAAATGTGAGTGTATCGCATATTTTCGTTCGAGGTCAGCATAAAACGGCAAGGTATCCACCGCACTTTAACACTGGAGAGGAGACACTGGCAAAGGGACACAGACCGCCCTCCTGGTTGCGCGTGGCGTTTCGCGCAGGTGTTGAGTATTCTTGTTTATCGTTTATCTTCCACGAAGAAGGAGCAGTTCCAGTAGAACGGATAACGCAGCCAGCTTCACATTTTTCCACTTCGTACGCAGCTTGCACTTGTTTTGCTTACCCTTGTTGAAATCCGGTCCGTCTGCTGAAATGGGCGTACGCAGTATTTGGCGCAGACATAGGGAATGTGCATGTGTGAGCATCGTCGGGTTATGCAGCTTGTGAGCGCGTGCTTTCTGCTGCAGTGAGCCCATTCTTTCTCTGGCGTTGCGATCGATTTGTATTCTGGCCAGAAAGCGTGCTCATTTGACCGAGCCGTTGTTGCATGGTTGCGAAACGCTAAGCCAAACGTCTTTAGCAAGGCTGAAGCACGCGAATAGAATGCTTCATGCGTGTAGTTTTGGCTACCGTTACGTTTAAGTTGGTATAGCAGCGGGCATAAATAAGTATACGCATACGTGCAGCTCTATGCAGTCGCAGTGCGAGAAGACGTTGGAGATCGTCTTTACTAGGCCGTGCTCGGTGTTGGTATTTGGCGGGAAGGCGCGATTCAGCGTTGCTGGATGCGCTTGCAAGACAGATCCTAAAATTCCAAAACGACCTACGTGAATTGGTGAGGCAGCATATCTGCGACGCCGTATGTAGGAGGTGAGAAGTGGCCGCGGCGACCACCCGGTGGTTTCTGCTGAAAAAGTCACCGCTTGGAAGGGGGATACTTCTTCATCTGTATTTTTGGAGATCCAGAGGCTGTCTATGTGTGGGCATCGTGGCGCAATTGACTTTGTGTGCGTGTCTTCATGGCGGAGGTGGGCAGAGCTTTTTCTGGGTTCAGGATCGCGCGCTGCTTTGTGAAGGATGTACGCCCATAGAACGGATCTTACATTATTGGAGGTGGTTTTGGATACTGCTTGATTTCATGCATTGTGATTACAGGCATAGAAGCGTGCGCGCATGCCTGCAAATCATTGGAGTTGCAGTGAAGGAAGAAGTGAGAGTTCGTTTTGCTTGAGTAGTGCTCTTATTTTGTCTCTAGTGGAGCGGAATGCTTTGGTGTTGCGGCATGCGGTTGCGCGAGATTTTCTGATATTAGGGCGTCAGGGAATCGGTTGAGTATGCGTTTAGCGCAGTAGGTCGTAGGAGTCAGAGGCGCCTACAAACAGGATATCTTGCTAACAAGCGCCTACACTTCATGTCGAACTTGGAGCATTATGGTCAAGAGGTCTGCGCAGAACAGGAATAGCGGAGGGCAGTCTGCGCTCGACGGACCGCCGGCAGGGCGCGCATAGCACTCCACTCCAATATGCAAATGCAACGGGAGGCAAGCCGCCAGTCAGCATTCGCATGATGTTTCCTGCACGTCCTGGACATTTTTGGTTGCCTTTGGCTTGCCAATGAAGAGCGACTCGGTAGGAATTATGGTTTCGTAGTTCGTGTGATGCTTGTGATTGGTTCAGTTGTGCTGGGCGAACTCAGCGCCACCTACCGAAGGGAGCGTACGCACTATTTGGGAAAACGATTAGGGCTACGCATGTGCGGTGGTTGCGTGGCTAAGCAGTTTGCGTTCGCTCATGCATTTGCTCCGGTGTGGAGATGCTTTTCCTGGCGTTGCGATGCCGCGGTGCTTTGCCCAGCAAGTACGGGATTAGAAGGAAGTTCATTTGCTTGGCGCGGGTGTGGTCTCGTCTGCGTTGTAGGTTTTCTGATGGCAGGCATGGATGTGCAGGCGCATCCATGGAACGTTCTGGAGATGTGGTGTGGAAAGGCGTGGGCGCTCGTTTTGCTTTAGTCGCGCTCTTGGTCGATATCTACTGGGGCGTGGTGTTTCAGCGCTGCGAGACGTTTGTGCGACGGCGCGCGCCATCAGAAGCGACCTCACGTGGCTGGCGACGCAGCATAGGGGCAGCGCGAAACGCGGTAGGAGACAGCGCTCATAGCACTCCACTCCAAAATGCAAAGGCGACGGGGGGCAAGCTGTGAGACAAGCCGTCGGCCAGCATGCGCATTATGTTTCCTGCACTTCCTGAACGGTTTTCACGGCCGCGCGTTTGCCAACAAGGAGCGACTCGGCATGAACTCGCCATACATCCAGCTGCATGGTTTCGTAGCTCGTGTGATGCTTGTGATTGGTTCAGTTGCGCTGGGCGAACCCAGCGCCACCTGCCGAAGGGAGCGTACGCACTATTTGGGAAAACGATTGGGGCTACGCATGTGCGGTGGTTGCGTGGTTAAGCAGTTTGCGTTCGCTCATGCATTTGCTTCGGTGTGGAGATGCTTTTCCTGGCGTTGCGATGCCGCGGTGCTTTGCCCAGCAAGTACGGGATTAGAAGGACGCTCATTTGCTTGGCACGGGTGTGGGTTCGTCTATGCTGCGTGGTGTTTCAGCGCTGCAAGGCGCGTGTGCGACAGCAACAGCGGTCACCAGCGGGCTCACTGAGCTGGTGACGCACGATAGGCGCAGCGAGAAATGCAGTAGAGGAGAAGGCCACGACCACGTGGGTCCGACGCTAAGTAGATTGGATTGCCAATCGGAAATCCCATGAAAGCAGTTTGGTTTTTGAAGACAATCATACCTCAGGGCGGCTACAGCCTAGAGTGCTTTAAATACAAATCGTAGGCAATATTCACCGTTTTTGCATGAAAAGCCCAGAGCCCGCAAGTCGTTGTGGAGCGATCCGGTGGCACAAGAGAAACCGAAACCCGTTGTTCCTGCAATTGCTCCTCAGATATTGCAGGTATGCTCGCGGCCGTAAAAAAGAAGGCTAGGGTTTAACGACTAGGGCTTAGGGCTCATGGTTAAGGGTTTAGAGCTTAGGGTCCAGGTTGAACAGATTAGGGTTCAGCGATATTCGTCGAGCTGTTTTGTGTTCGGAGGAAGCGCATATTGCATGTGCCAGTGAGTGGCGTGCGCTGTCGGAAAATAACGCCCAAAACTATCCCCAGTGCCCGAATGCTGTAGTAAAGGCCAGCGGGATGCAGTCCGTCGGCCTCCTCCTGCATGATGTTTGTAGCACTTATTGAACACTTTCGATTCTTATGGCTCTTCCAAAAATGCCCCGTGCGGCGATTTCCATCGTTTGGCAGTTGTCAAGAAGCTTGCGCTTCGTTTGGTTGCCCCAGTTGAAGTCAGCTCTGTCTGCCGAAAGGATTACATGCTGTATTTGGCGGGATGCTTGGGGCCCGGCATGCATGAGCATCATGGGATTTGTACGGCTAGTGTGCTGGCTTTCATTGCCGCTGTATGGAGGAGCCTTTACTGGAACTGCGGTCGGGTTTTGTTTTTGCGAGGTATCATGAACATGATAAGGGGTCAGAGCCAGGAAGATCCGAGGCAGACATCAGCTACGACTGTTTATATAATTTTTTTACACGAATCAGAACTATCAAATTTAGTCGCTTTTGTGTATTCGCTTTGCGTACGTGCCCCTGACAGCTCAGATGCCTATAGCTCCCTGCAGTATCCGAAGATGGCAGTGTTTGTTGAGAGTGATATGTCGCATGAGTGTGATGGGTAGCGGCGTTGAGCTGTGAAGAAGTGATTGATGCATTGAGTATGGGTCATCGTTTCTATTGCGGCAGCCGGGTTGCCAGGGACGACAGCAGCGGAGCTTCAGGGAAGAACAACGGTGCGACAGTTTGCCGGGATGTTGCATACGGATATGGCCCTTCCTTCTCCATCTGCATAGTACGGCTTTTCAGAGGCAGGCAAATTGCTGTTGCTGCATGCGTTGTGCTTTTTGTACCCCACGTGTTGTATTTGGTGAGCATTTCCCAAACATTTGACTTGTTTCGCTTTCCCTTGCTAACTGATTTAGAATAGACTCGCCTCACGCCTCCTCCCACAAGAAGATACCGGGGGGTCGTGCAGTTTGTGTGTGCATGTCTACGACCGTGCTCTTGCGAACCCTGCTTTGGCGTTGCGATCGCGAGTTGTTCTCGTCATGGAGTATGTGCATAGTTAGTGCCACTTTTGCGGAATACGAACCGTCCGGTAGCTAGAACAGTCTGTGCTGAGCTTTGAGCATCCGGCCCGAATTCATCTGTTCGGCGCAGTTATGCGCACGTTTACGTTTCAGCCTGTATGCCAGCAGGCACGAATGTATATGTGCATTCCGTGTATTAATAAAGTTGCGTTGAGCAACGAAATGGGATTTTGTTTCGGATTTAGAAATGGTTCCCTTGGGATTTGGTGTGTCGCGGTTTTCCATCTCTGCGACGCGCGTTTGCGAGAGAGAGCCCGTCGTCACAAGCAATCCCACTGAATCGGTGATGCAGTGCACCTGCAACGCGTTGCTACAAAACCACTTGGGTGAGTATTCATGGCGGTTGCGCAGAAAAAGGCAAAGCCTGTAGTTCACGGTGTAGCTACTGAGCATAACAAACGAACGCGGACCCCGTTGCGTTGGCGGGTGGTTCTGGTGTCGATGTTAGTTGAGCCTTTCTTTGTCCGGAGTAGGCGCCCTGTATGCATGTGCCACTGGCATTCTTTCGTGCATGCCTTTTCATGGCAAAGGTTGTGCAGCAGTTTCTCCACACTTATTGTGGCCAACCGCGAGAGAATGAAGCGTGGTGCATTCGTGTATATATATCTTTTCTCTTGGACGTTGGCCTTCCAACAAGAACGGATTAAAGAAAGAAATCCATGCAGGCAACTGCATTCTTACGCAGTCGGCACTAGGCTTCTGTTTGGTTGGCTTGCCATGATTTGCCATTTACAGAGCCTGGCAAGGCAAACGATTTCACTGGAGTAGTGAGCGTGACTATTTGCGCCGCATTACGTGATTTGACGCGCCTCCGTCTACACGATGATTCGTCTCAAATGTTTCGAAGTGCTGATTGCCAACCTGTTGTGTATGATAGTAACGGTTCTCCGGTGAGTGGCAATCGTGGAGGTCGGGAGGCGGTCGATGGCACGGCCAAGACGAATTGTGCCAGTATTCACCTCCGCAAAGGAACACGAATCCCGTTCACTGTGTAGAGTTACACAAAGAAAAGCAGCAACAGCAGTGCAGATAGGCGGTTCTTGCTTGGCGATAATAGTCAAGCTGTTTTGTGTTCGGCGTGGTTCGCTGTGGGTAGCTGTATTGCGTGTGCGATAGGGCAATTTGTGGAAGTGGCGGCAATGTTCTTCCCTTGAAAGAAGACATCTTGAAGTGAATGTCTCTCACCTTACAGTTAGTATAAGGCGTGCAGTTTGTTTGCGCCAGCCCTGTCTGGTGGTATGACTACACGCCGCATGCGTTGTGGATGCAGACACGGACACGTGCGTGCGTGCACATTTGCTGTACTGCATTGCTCAAATAAGTCGGTGTTTGTTTTGCTCTAGCAGTGCTATCCTTATGCTTCTAGTTGGACAGGACGCCTTGTCCTTGCGTTATGCGCATGCAAGAGTGCTCCTCAATTTATTGTGTTTAGGCGACGAAGCATATATCTAGTGGAATGCTTGATACACGGCAGCAGCGATTACAGGATGACCTGTTGAGAACGCTGGTTAGCATTGACGACCAGCTGGGTTATATAAGAAGGTGGTTGTTTTGGGGGAGAATTGGAATAGCATATGGTGGGTGGCTGATGGCGCCTCTAACGCATAACTGTGCAAATGCGTATGGCGTTTGCATGAAAGGCCTGAAGGACGCAGCTCTTTCTGCAGTCATTCGGTAGCACGAGACAGCGCTAAGCCCGTTCTGCAGGTTGTTTTTTTTCATTTGTAGAAATTCGTCAAGCTCTTGTGTACTCAGGGAATATGAAACCCCTGTTTGTGCCATTGATTTTAGTTCAGGCCAGGCATATTACGGTGATATGTCTGCAACATTCTAACACTCAGTGCAGAAGGCCGCGGGCATACGGCACTCCTTCTACTAGCACGTAATCTTTTGATCACGTTGTGAATATTTTCGACTCCGCTGACCTTCCAGCAAAACGCTATTCGACGCCAATGCTCCATGAAGTCAACTGCGTCGCACTGCAGTCCAAATTAAGCTTGAGCTTCACTCACGTTCCCTGGACGGAACTAGCTCTGTCTTCCAAATGGCGTCTACAGAGTATTTGGCTGCTGGCTAGAGGTTTTGCTCGCGTGACCATCGTGAGCGAACACAGTTTGTCTGCACGGACCTCCGGATGCAGTCTGGCTATGCCCTCTTTCGCTCTACGATCGCCATCCGTTTTCGCCAGAACACATACTTTCGCCAGAGCGTATGCCTTGGCCAGCACACGCATCTCCGCTTGGAACGGCTGGAAACTGCCACAATTCATGTGGGCTTGTGGCAGCATGGATGCTTATCCGTGCCTGCGCAGGCTAGCGGAAATACAGTGTGAATAGAAGCGAGGGTTTGTTTTGCGTCGGTGGTGCATTGTTCCGTTGGTATATAGTCTGGCACGGTGGTGCGGCTCTGTCAAATGCGTTTGGTGAACAGGGTATGACGTTACAAACGATATCATGGGACTGCCGAGGCAGTCTATCTGCCACGGGATACGCGGTAGGAAGAAGCGACAATGCGGTGCTGTGCGTCAAGCGCCTTGCAGGA